GCTGATGGTGCGAGGTCTGGACCATCCCACGTGTGCTCTGGGGTCCCCGCACGTCCTCTGGCCCTGCCCAGGATCCTGCGGGCACTGATGCCTCTTTGCCTTAATAAGAGCTGCTGACTCTGAGCTGCTCTGCACCCACTGGGGAGGCCAGCCCAGGCACAGCTGCTTAGGAACCCCAATCTGCCCTGGGGGGCCGGCCTGGGGGCCCTCCCCACCTCCCAGTGCAAGGAAGGCGCTCGGTGTTGGCTGCGGTGGGAACATCCCTGTCTGGCACCTCCAGGTGCACCGCACAGACTCGTCTGCTCGTCGGCGGGGGCTGATCAGGGGTTCGACCAGGGCAGAGGGCTGGTCTGGGGGCAGGAGGGGCAGAGTAGCCGCCCAGAGCACAGCCACCTGCACAGACCGTCGGTCGCCCTCCCAGCAGCCCTGGCCTGTGGTCCCCGCGGCCAGATGGAGGCTGCAGGTGGGCCTGCGCCTGCCCTCACTCAGACCTCGCCGCCCCAGGGCCTCCGCCTGCCCAGCTAGCTTCTCACCAGCATTCTCACTCAGTCTGGCACCCGGAATCCACTTGTTCTGTCTTTTAGCGAAAGAAAAAGCGTTGTGATTCTCTGCTTCTGGTTTTGAGTCGCTCTTTGTTCAGTAATGCACTTTCTTTTATTGTCCAAAGAGTCAGAGCTCAGGCAGCTCAGCCACCTCCTCCTGCGTCCACCTGCCCTCGTGTGAGCACAACCCTCTTCTGCTACCAGGCCCCACAGCGGAGGGGTGACTGAGTGAACTCGGCCGGCTGCCGGCCCGCCTCCCCGTCGGTGCTCCCACAGCCCTGCAGCGCGCTTCCCCTGTCCGCAGGGCCAGTTCACATGGCCGTGTCAGGTGGGCACCACTGGAGGGTAGGGACCCCTGCCCTGCCAGGCTCCAGGGCTCTGCTCCCAGCAGGTGGGAGGTGGGGGAGGAAGAGGGGAGCCTGGCCTCCCTGGGTGCCCTTCCTGACCGTCACCCAGGTGTCACTCCAGGGCCTGCGTGCTGGGACAGGTGCGTGTGGCCAGGCAGCAGCTGAAGGAGGCAGCCCAGGAGCCCCTCAGCTGCAGGGAACAAGCCAGAGGGACATGCTGCTGGCCTGAGCGACCTGCCCTCTGGGTTTGGTGTCAGCCTTCATGCACCGTTCAGCACACTCGGTGACTGCTCCCGGAACGGGCACATAGACACCAGGACTGGTGGGCAGGCCCTCAGGCCGCCCAGGCCACTCCCTGAGACAGGCTATCACCAGCATGGCTCGCACCACTGACAGCTCCCACACCCAGGGTGGCCGCTGTGCTGGCCGAGGGCACCTGAGGCTGCTGAGCTTGGTTCTGGAAGGGGGAAGGTTCTCGGACCTCCCCCAAGTGATCCAGCAGGTGGAGTGCACTACTTGGCAACAATCTTGGGGCCACCCTCCTACCCTGCACGTGTGCCCCATCACGGCTGTGCTGCCTGTGAGCAGCGCCTGGCACAGCCTGAAGCCCCCCCCCCCCCGCCCCCCCACGTCTGGGGCCGTGATCTGTCCTTAGGAAGGTGACACTGCCTCCAGATTTGGCACAGAGACCACTGGCTGCCAGGCTTCCGGCCGGGAGCAGGGAGGCCCCTCTGTCCCCCTCGGGTCTGAGCTGACCATAGCCCTTTGCTCGTGCCCGACCTCCACGATCAGCACTCCAGGCCCCCTTGGTGTTTGGACGGGCAGGTGATGCTCATCAATCCACGCGTCACAGGTGCAGCCAGCCTGGGCTCGGAGCCAGGAGCCTGCTAGCCGAGCAGAAGGTAGTGGGCCGGAGGGGCTGCCCACTTAACTTTTGGAAAACTTGCAAGTTTGCTGAGCAGGGCAGCTCAGAACACGTGTGTGTGTGTGGGGGGGGGGCTTTAGAGGGGGGACGTGGCTAGAAAGGAGCATGGCACAATGAGAAGGGCTTCCTTGTGCCTGGTGGCTGCCTCCCAGCGTCCAGGACAGAAGGGGGCAAGCACTGCCAATGCCACGCTCCCACTGTCCACCCAGCACCAGAGAGGAGGACAGTGGCTGGCTGCTGCCCGGGGTTGAGTGCCCGCCTCCACCTCAAGGGCAGTGGGAACGTTTGCTGCTGCTGGTTCTGTTTTGGCAGGATCACCAGCCTCCCTGGTGCCAGCTTAACTCCAAGCCAGAGAACACTTGGCAGCTGGGCCCCTTCAGCATGCCATGCCTGCCGTGCCCCCCACATGCCTCTCATGGGTGGCCGTGGAGACTGTCCCGCTGGCTTTTTAAAAAATATATAGTTTATTTCAGAGAGAAAGGGGGAGAGGGATAGAAACATCAATCATGAGAGACTCATGGATCGGCTGCCTCCTGCACACCCCACACTGGGGATCAAGCCCACAACCTGGGCCTGTGCCCTGACCAGGGATCGAACTGTGACCTCCTGGTTCCTTGGTCAACACTCAACCACTGAGCCAGGCTGGCTGGGCCCATTGGCTCAGAGGAGACGGGTGTGGCCTGCAGGCACCTTCAGGGGTGCTCTGGTCTCCGGGTGCCCCCCGGTCAGCACTTCTCCCCAGCCCTGGAGGATGAGGGCAGCCCTGTGGGGGCAGAGCTGCCTGCCCTCCCTCCACTCACCCCCAAGATGATTGCTGGTGATCCCCCTCATTTTCTCTACGGCCCTGCCCCCAACCCAGAATTCCTCTGGCTTACCCCACTGTCCATGCAAACCCACACACCCACACCCGGTTCGTGTCCAGGCACGGAGGGGCACGTCTGTCCACGTTTGGCTCAGCAGGTCAGAGGGATGGGAGCCACCCCTAGGCCCAGAGCCTCTGGCTGTGGAAGCAGCAGGAGCTAGCACGGCCCGCCCGCTCCCGGGCCCCGCAGCATACAGGCGCTCCCCAAACCCTAGCAAAT